AAGAGGGACACAGAACATTTACGTGTGATGATCTCAGGTGATTAACTGTGAAGCATTGTCTGTTCTTTGGTCCCTTTTGTTTTGTTTTCCTTTTTTTTTTTTTAGGACAGAGTCTCACTATGTTGCCCTTGGTAGAGTGCTATGATGTCACAGCTCACAGCAACCTCAAACTCTTGGGCCTAAGTGATTCTCTTGCCTCAGCCTTCTAAGTAGTTGAGTCAACAGGTACCTGCCACAGCACCTGGGCTAATTTTTGTCCTTGTTGCAGTTGTCATTGTTGTTTTAGCAGGCTCGAACCCACCAGCCTCAGTGTAGTAGGTGGCTGGCACCAGTTGCTTCTGTTTTTAGACTGGCTCTGTTGAAGATGTGTTACATGGATAATTTTAACAATGCTATTGTCTAAAATAATGCAGCATGTCTCGCTAGAGCAGCACAGCAGTACTCGTAGTGGCAAGACACCCACGGAAAGGGAGTGCCATCCTCTGTGCTGGGCATATTGCTGCATCAGTTATGTAGACCATCATAGAGGGCTGCTTCCTTTTGATATTCCTGAGAGCCCATGGACATTTCCAGGGACACACCAAAACCTCACAAGAGCTAGCTGTACACCAGTGTTTACAGCAGCAGTGTTCATGGCAGGCAAAAGCTGGGTGCAACCCCATGTTCATGGATGGATGTGTAGACGAACACAGAACAGCCCATCCACTCAAGAAAACACCATCCAGCCTAACATGGCAAGAAATGCCAACATGGGCCATGACCTGGATGGCCTTGGTTGGGCACATCACAGGGGTTGGCAAGAGGTGGCAGGAAGTGAGAGTATTGAATAGGTATAGAGTTTCAATTTGGGAAGAGGAGAAATTTTGGAGGTGGACGGTTGTGACAGCTGAACAGCAATGTGAGTATAGCTAGTGCCACTTAAAAATGGTTAAAATGGCAAATTTTATGTCTATTTTACCATAATTAAAAAAACACACACACTTGTGTAGAGATAAGCACCCCATGCTCAGATATGGCAGTTTGCGCAGGAGAATGGCTCTGGGAAAGATTTCTTTGAAGATCAAGCTTCTGCAAGCAGCCTATAGATAGACAGAAAGACTCTCACAAAGAGATCTGGAGAGCTAGACCAGAGTGGGGGTCGCAGCTGGAAGCTCGAACACATCTCCTGGGGCATTGGGTTCTGTTCTCTGTCTTCTTCCTTCATTAACATTATAATCTCTAGTTTCGGTTTGGGCCAGCAAGAACAGACAAGCAGTCTCCTTTATGTTTTTACTCTAAACAAAATCAATTGTATATGTGTTCCTCAGCCTTCACACTGAATTGTAATCTTAATGGTAGCTTCCTTATTTTACTTCACTTCTTTTTATCTGTGTTAACTTCTTACTGAATGTTTGAAAGTATATAAGATAATCAGTAAAGTCAGGCCTGGTCGCTGACCTGAGCGAGTCTCCACCTCCTTTCAAATCAATCATCCCGTCTGCAGTTCCTTTTCCTTGCGTCTCCAATCAGAGGGCTCCAAGAACACTTACACACTTGAAAAACCAGAGTTGACATCAGGATGCCATTTGTGTCCCTTCGTATCTGTCTTTGGGAGCAGATTTCTAGGCCTCACTGACCTGGCCCCAATATGCCGGTCATATCCAGTGGTCCATTGGACAAAAGTGGTTATTTTTGTCAAGAGGACCTAATGACACCTTTTTCCCCTCACCTAGCCTCCAAAAGCAGGGCAGTAGAGTGGAGGGGAGTCCCCCCTGAGAAAGCCCCAGGCCAGGTCCCAGGGGCTGTTGCAGGACATTCCTGTGTGCTGCATGTACATGGATGTAGGGGCCACAGGTGCCTCCTGAGAGGGGACTGCAATGTTCTCTCTCTCTCCGAAACGGACAGGTAAATAAGTACAGGGAAAGCATTCCTTCTCCCCTCCATTACCTCACCTGCATCTGGAAGGATGCCAGCTCAAGAGCTCTGTGGATGGCTGGAGACATGACAACGGACACACAGTCCTCCTTGCCAGAGCAAGGCCCCAAGGCTCAACACGTGTCAGCATGTGCGTCCACCCACCCTGGCAAATGGACAGCGCAGCTCCCCTGCTGTGCAGGGAGCTCCACAAGTGCCTACCGGGGAGACAGGTTCTTCATCCAGCTGGAGAAGTCATGCTGGAAGGCGAGGGCCTCCACCTTATCCAGGTCAGATGCGTAGTGGGGCTGGACCAGCAGAAGGCAGGCGCTCTCACCCAAGGGCACCCGAGTCACTGAGAAGTTGTTCTGGGTGTCATTCCAGTGCTGGAATATGCCCGTGCCTGAGAGCATGGGGACAGACACTGAAGTGCTGTTGTCCACCCAGAACTCCTGGTGCTCGGCCAGCAGGAAGAAGCCCTTCACTTTCCCTGAAACCCAAATGAGGAGGTGAAGACTCAGTGGGGTGGGGCACCACCAGGGTCTGGCTGACTCTGAGGCCCCTCTCATGCCCTCTGCCTTGCCTCAGCCTCCCTCTCTGTCCTAACCCAGGTCACTCCACACTCTCCTGGCCACAGGACCTCCCCAGCCCCAGAGCCTTCTGCAAAATGCAGCACCTGAGCTCACTAAGGCAGCACTAGCTACCAGCTGCAGGAGACACAGGGTGTGCCAGTCATTGGGGCTGAGGTCCACATCATCTGTCACCTGAAGGAACCCAAGCCCACTGGAACCCAACCTGATAACCTCAACTCCAAATCTGTTGAGGTTTGAAGTCTGTTGTTTGCCACACTTGTGTTTTCTTTAGGGTGACCAGACGTCCCGATTTTGGCAGGCCAGTCCTGCTTTTCAACAATTTGTCCCACATCCCGCAGCATTTTTAAAAAGTCCCGATTTTTGGAAAGAATGCACGAACGGGCAGGAGAACAAGAAGAGAATATACGGTTTTCAGCTGCCATGTGGCTTTTTCACCAGAATATGAGTTTTATATTATTTTTGTTAATTTTATAATTTTAAACTGTAATAATAACAAATAATTGCTGAGAAGCGATTATTGAGAACTGCTTATCAAAGTTTGCATTGTTGTCAGGCCCTGCCCTGCCCCATCCCCTGCCCCGCCCCGCCCCCCCTCCCCTGCCATGTTGTCCTGCTGTACCAATGTTAAAATCTGGTCACCCTAGTTTTTTTTCTTTCTTTTTTTTGAGACAGAGTCTCACTTTGTTGCCCTCGGTAGAGTGCTGTGATATCATAGCTCACAGAAACCTCCAGCTCTTGGGCTTAGATGATTCTCTTGCCTCAGCCTCTGGAGTAGCTAGGACTATAGGTGCCTGCCACAACACCCGGCTAGTTTTTGTTGCAGTTTGGGTTCAAACCCACCACCCTTGGTATATGGGGCTGGCACCCTACCCACTGAGCCACAGGAGCTGCCCAAACTTGCCTTTTCTTAAATAAATGTTTTTTAGAACGGCTTTAAGTTTACAGCAAAACTGAGCAGAGTGTGCAGGGCTCCCTGTCAATCTGCTCCAACAAGGCACAGCCTCCCCTGACCAACATCTCCCACCAGAGTGGCCGACTTGTTACTATTAGTGACCCTGTACTGACAGGCCATTGTCACTCAGAGCCCACAGTCTATGTGGGGGTGGACAGCTGTAGGGCGATGAGCATCCATAGGGCTGGAGCTCTGCCTGGGCGTCCTTGGTGCATCTCAATACCAGGCCCAACTGTGGCAGAACCTGCTGGCTGTCCTCTGGTCCCCATACAGAACTGGTCACACAGGCTCTGGGGATAAGGGCTGCATTTCTCAGCAGCTTCTGCCACTACAGACAGGGTTTGCACTAGGACTTGGGGGCAAGTGTTGGCCCTCTGTCTGCCCTCCCACTCACAGGGCTGTGGATAAGGTGGAGAGCTTGGGTGCAGCCACCATGGCAGAGCCCAGTGGCCTGCAGGTCAGTCCACCCTGGGAGGAGAGCACATCACTCAGGACTTCTCCATGACAGCAGCCACCCTCTGCCGTGACCTGATGCCAGCACGTTAGCCTACTCCCACCTCCCTGGTCCTCTTAGTCCTATGGAGAGGCCTGTTCTGTGGATGTTTTTAGCAGAACTGGGTGAAGCTGAGAACGAGTCCATCATAGAGTATTCCCTGGGGAGGCTGAGGAGAGGTGCTTTATTAATAAAAGAGCCAGATCTCCCTTTGACTGAATCAGAGGCTGCCAACATGAAAGCGGGGGCAGCTGGGAGGACTCTGCTTCTGGCAGGAAGGACCTGGATGCAGCCCTGCCCACCCTAGACCTGGGTCTCAGGAGAGCCTGCTGGCAGGCCTCATGTTTCCCATGTCTCTGTGGGGACCCTGGTATTGGCCCAACCTGCCTGGCAAGTGGCTTTTTAATGTAAAGGTAAAAAAGGACTAAACGTTTTTCTTCCAACAAATTAAAACAATAAAGAGAAGGTGGAATCTGAGATGAGGGTGGCTGTGCTCACCTGACATGCCCTGACTTCCCTCCTCACCGGATGTCCATCAGTCTCTTGAGATCAAGCCAGCCAGTGTCATGGAGCCTGCCAGGGCCAGTACCCTGCCTCGGGGAGCAATGGTGCCAGCAAAGGGCACCTGGAGCTCATCAGCTCCCAAATGCTAGTGGGACACCTCCAGCTGTCACCAGAGGTGGTTTTAACAGAACATTATTGCTAAAGGGGGACCTCGAGCTCCTGAGACTACTCTTGTGGGCAGGAAGGGCTTGTCTCCATTTGAAGGAGACTGGGCCAGGGAAAGTTAGGGAGCCGTGCAAGGTCGGACAGAATGAGATGGATATGGACCCAGGGCTTCCTCTTTAGCCCTGATGTGATCCACTTTTTTCTTCTTTTTTCTCTTTCCTGTCTGGCTTTTTAGCACGGATCAGGTGGACAGACACTCTTCCAAAGCAAGAACCTGTTTCTGATGCCAGTGGCTTTCCTGACTTTGCCTTTTGGGGGCATCCCTTCCTCAATGAGCTCCCCTCCCCTGCAGCTCTCCCTAGGGAAGGCAGGCTGAGCCTACAGGTCCACACATGTGTCCTGCACAGTGTGTGGCCACCCTCAATCAGGTGACCTGTGGGCTAGCCTCTGCCCCCCGATTGGTCAGCAGTGGGTCTTGAGCAGTCCTGGGTCTGTCACTTCCCCCTTTCCTCCAAGGCAGGTGCCAGGCCTTTCCCTCTTTGTAATTTTACAGAGACTTTAAGGATATCATGGTAAGAAAATCACCATGCACTATTTCACCCCTCTCCAACAGTCCTTTCAGCTGCCTGCCTGGCTGCCTGTCCCCCACGAGGCTAAACATCCTCCTGACGGAGCCTCCCCACACTTGTTCTCATCTTCCCCAGCCCTGCTCCCCTCACGTCGTCTTCAAGCGTCCCTCACTTGGGGCTTCCAGCCATCTGCGGTAACCTGGAGAAGTGCTTGGCCCTGCAGTGTCACAGCCTGGCACCTCTGCCCATGGGATCCATCTCTGCTGTTAATCTTTAACAACCTGGGGTCAGGGCCTGTACACCCTTCCTAATGCCCCTCCAAGATACCTGGCTCAGAGTCTTACAAATAGTAAATCCTCTGTGTTTGTTGAATGAATAAGCGATTGTTGTAGGAGGGGCTTGGGGGTAAGACTCCCTCCCATGCAAAAGTGATTTAAGCATACTAATTGGCTATTTCTTCAAGAGCTGGCAACTCTTGTCCTTGACCTTCTTAGGACAAAAAAAACCTGTCTCTTTTGAACATAGAACTGGGCCGTGCGGCTCGGCACCTATAGCTCAACCGGCTAAGGCGCCAGCCACGTACACCTAAGGTGG